AAAAGTTGATATTTCCCTGACACACCCAAGTCGGTTCGGTTTCGGTATTTTCCACGGCTACTGTTGGTATTTGGTTTGGTATCGGCATCGCGATTTTCCGTAATTGACATCACTATAATAGTTGCGACCATTGGCGCGCTAATTGGGATGGTTTTTAAGAATGGCTTTAAATGTATCCTCGCTTGGCAATCAAATTGATGGTGCAGCGGGATGTTTGTAGCCGGCCTGGTAAGGCCTTTTCGGCCACCTTCATTTATTTCTTGCGTAGAGAAAGCAACGAGCACTGCACCGCGAAACTTGGCATAGCTTGTACCACGTTCATTTTACATCACGTGTTCGGCTCGCTACAGAAGTCGGGTTTTACATCAAGTCGGGTTTAGTAGCTATGCCTCACGTCACTCCCACAGCTTTTCTTCTGGATATTTGAAACTCGATGTATTGCATGAGTGTAACAGCTGCAGCAATTCATGCACCTCAGATTTTGTTTATGTGAGTACGATTGAGGTGCATGAGTCAGGTCAGTTTCGTAACTTTGCCGTTATAAAAAACAAACACGTCAAAACTGCAAGATATTTTCATAATAATAACACCTCTGCCATGCCCATAGGCAATAAACAAGGTGCAGCTGATGGCTAGCGGTCACGCAAAAGGTCATGTGAGGTCATAAAAGGTCACCAGCAGTTTTCTGGGCTAGATGTTTGATGTCGACTAAGATAAAAGCACCTGGAATGTGTACATATCAACAACACTGGGAGATTGATAAACAACATAACCTTTTCTGGTCAGCATACGACTTTGACCTGAGGCCAAATTTTCAAGTTGAGCTTGGAAGGTCAAATTATCAGTGGCGGATCCAGGGGGGGCTGCGGGGGCTGGCAGCCCCCACCCAAGGAAAACTGGCGCCACTGCGCCGAAGGCGCAGTGGCGCCAATTTTCAATTCGCAACTCATCGGAGTGCCGCATACTAGGACTAGGATGCAAAAATCAGTCGAATAACGTCGTTTCAGTACGCTCCGCACCGATATTTCCAATCGTGTGGTGTCACTGTACATACTGATCCTGGGCGCCTCTTGTCAGGGCCACTGGGCGCCAATATTTCAGCGCCAATACGATGCGACTATGGCGCCCATCCGGGGCGTGGCGCCCAATTATGACCTGCAGCCCCTCCCCAGTGAAAATCCTGGATCCGCCACTGCAAATTATAGTGACCATTCAACGCGAATTGACGAAAGAAACGCCATGGCGGTAAAAGAAATGTTATTATCCCCCAAAAATACATTTATGCCATGTCATAGACAACCGTATATCAGTGCCTTATGCAGTAATCTATAACCATGTAAAAGAATAATTTATTTTATTTATACATAGTTATCTATTATGTATAGTACCTTTTAGTTCACGAAATATGTTTCAAATAGTGAAAAATGTCAAAATTGGGAAATTTGACATGTTTTTTCTTTTGACGGCCTAGTGACCTCGCCATTGTCCTGAGCGCATTTCTTTATTGTTTCTAAACGTAATCACTTAGAACACATTGATGGCTATCGGCTGATTTTGGGCGTCTTTCTATCTTTTAATTTTTAATTGAACCAAGGCGAAGTTAGCTGAGACTCCCACCTGGGCGTGGGTTACCTTTTTTAATAGAAAATAATGATATAATGGAGCCTACTTCATAAGAAGTCAAAGAAAAGAAGGTAAATTTCTGAATCTTGAAAAGAGAGTGTTAATACTTCGGGGATATTGGTTGGCAAGTACCGAACCACATCGCTCTTTGGTGGGTCATGTACATATGTAGCAGCGAGTCCGGTCAAAAATTTTGCTCAAAATCTGTACTCACTGACTGAAAAGCGTGTTATGTCGAACCACTTTTCTAATTAATAGCGCGCTGTCGTGACTCGTACATACGTATTTGGTATGCAATTATGCATGCAAGTACTTGTCTTCCACACATTTTTCTCAGCACCTTACAGGTAAAATGCCGACCCCGCACGCGCACTGGACATTGGACAAACGCTGATTTTATGTAGTCGTAAGCCGCAGAAACGTTAACAAATAATATCTACACACAAAGTTTTTGACTTGTGCACTGACTCATCGTATCCCTGGATAATGTTTGTGTCTGGCCCGATCAGTGGAGCGTTGCACCGGTGCCATCGGCGGCATTTTTGCACCGATGATTGTCCCGGCGAGGGCTGAGTGCCAAGCGAACCACTCCGATGGCACCTGGGGAGGGAGACGTCGCGGTGGAGGCTGGAAAACAGACGACGGGCCGGCTGCCACCGTCTCCCTGAGGGATGTCGAAGGAAAACAGACGGGGCTGGCTGCCGCAGTAACCTCGGCCTGACACGCCCCCAGAAGGAGCTGGAAATGACGACGGAAACGGGACACCGTGGCGTGAGTCACCCAGAGGTCGAACCTCGAAAATGTGTGCATTATGAATCGTAGACATGCAGGGCCTCGTCTAAGGAATTTTCACTGGGGGGGCAGAGACTGAAGGAGCCAAACCTAGGGTACCCCCCAAATCCTGTTTTCTCACCGGATTTAGGCCACTTGTTTTCCGTCAAAGCCCTGAGACCATGATTTTTTTAACAAAAGAAGAAAACAAAAACAAAAGCAGGCGATCTGAGCCATACCGTAACCCTCGCCCGTATATACATAGCGGAGGGGTGCGGGGGGAGGGTCGAACGGACTCCTCTCGGTTTTTCTCAAATAAGTCGCGCAAAAAGCGACCGATTGCGGCACAACTTTCAGTACCCTCGCATTGATCAATTTACACCTACTCTAAAAATTTCATGACCCTGACCCAACTGACCTTTGACCTGTGACCTGCTTTCCGAGACCATGTTTAGCCGGAATCGCAATTCGGCCTACGTCGGCTCGCATTAGCCGAGCGTTTGCAGTCTTTTCGTGGTTTCAAGCGTTTAAACATGGGATATGCTGTTGCTCCCATGCATTAGGGTGGGTGTCAAGGTCTCCGAAAGGTCAGGTCAGGTCATTGAACTTTGATGACCTCGGTTCACTTTTTCGAGTTTTACACGCTTTTAGACTAGTTTTTGGAGCTGATTTCGAATTTAGGAGCCATTTGAACAATTACGAATAAGTTTTGGTGCCTTCGCAACATGTTACGAAGCTGTCAGAGGTGGTTGCCACCTACTACGAATACCCGGCAAAACCCTTACTGGTTGATCTGACCTGATCTGACCCGACCTGACCTAAATGCATGGAGACATTATCTATGATCAGAACTAGCATGATATTCGTGATCAGCACCCCGAAAAAAAAAACATAACAGCCACCCTTTACGACGTTCTAACAGGTCCCGATTTCCCCGACTTTTGGGTACTTAATCTGACCTGGAAGGTCAACTGATGACTAAGGATCTTGAAATTGGATATCATCGTTTTCCTCTCGTCACGGGAAACACGGTCGTTTGTTCCGCGAAGCTTTAGCTCGATCAGGGGCGAAACGGCAAGGGGGTCCAACGGCCCCCCCCCCTTATACGTTCGCGACTGGAAAACACCAATACGGGCGAGGGTTAACATTAGTGTTCTACCCCTTCACATTGACCCACCAGACAATCATAAACATACTATCCGTGTTGGGCGTTTCATTGAGTTTGTGTGTTTGTGTGTGGGGGGGGGGGGGGCAAACACGAGCTGGGTCGCTGGCCAGCTGCCATTTTATAATTTGCTACTCAGCGCTCTCTGGGCCCTGTTACACGGCACGCCGCTTCACTTTGCTTCAGCGCGCTTCAGTAAAGCGGTGAGGTAAACGGAACCTCCGATGCTAAGGTATGACCTCATCACAAAACAACAGCGTGCTGTATTATAGTGCTTGCAGTATTGCTTCGCATTGATATATGTCGCGGAATACAAGCATAAAATGTATAGCGGTCATATTTCTGATTTCAATGCGAAACAATACTGCAAGCAATATAATACAGCGCGCTGGCGTTTAGTGATGACGTCTTACCTTAGCATCGGAGGTTCCGTTTAAACTCGCCGCTTCAGTGAAGCGCGCTGAAGCGGAGTGAAGCGGCGTGCCGTGAAACAGGGCCCAGCTCTGAAAATCACAAAACCCTTTTCCTGTAGCCATGAACACTGAACAGTAATTGAACAAATTATTTAATGTTTCTCGTTAAATCCATGTAAGATTCCTAACAAAAACGTATTGCGGAGAAGGTAATTTTGTGAGAAGTTCACGTTTTGACTGGGGGGGCAAATGCTGGCCACTGGGGGGGCAATCCGCTCCACTGGGGAGGCAAATGCCCCCCCAGTTAACATGTTAGACGAGGCCCTGTGACATGTCGTTCGAAGCTGTCACCTGCATTATTTTTAGACACTACTGCTTCCCTGAGTGGAATCATATGGTCGTTTGCCCCGCGTTTGTTCCAGTGACAAGTCCTTATATAAAATACGCGCTCGAATCAGAGCAATCGTCTACTTCATTATATTTTTGCTACCTTACATCTATATTGGGTGCTTGTATTGCACAATTCACTGGTTGCGCTTCACGACATACCTAATAGCCCTCAATGCGTCTATGTATTTGGGCGATGAGATGCTTTAGGCGCTATCAGCTGTAATAACCGCACTATTTACCTCTGTTGGCCTTGCCGCTGTGTTGGTATGCTCAGCAGTATGAGTATGCAGGACGCACGTGATTGTGCAATGTGTGGAATGTGGCCGGCTCCGGCGGGCAGCCTCTGCTCGGTGGGCGCTCGGCGGAATCCTGTGACGCTTCTGGAGGACTGGAGCGTCGCCCCCTACTCAGAGACAGCTCGACCCGTAGTCGAACGATTTGAGGTGCCCAATCACCAAATCGGGAGTCACCTGCCCCGGTGGCCGCCCCTTCTCGAGGTTTCTCAGCCGCCCCCGCCGGGCGGGCGGCGCGCGCGCGGGCCCCTGTTGCACGAGGTGCTGACGTCACCGAGGCCGGGCCATTCTGGGCGGGTGCTGCAGACGCGCCGGCCCGGCGGCGGCGCGGCCACTATTTAAATCGACGCTGCTCGGGGCCAGGTCGAGTCGAGTCCATACCGTCAGCGCGTCGGTAGTGTGTGAGCGAGAGAGCCGGCGAGCAGTCAGTCAGTCAGTTTCAGTCTCAGTCACAGTCACAATCAGTCAGTCGTCAGTCATGGCCCGCCAGGTGCCGATCAAGATGGGTGACCACAGCGTCATCGACACCGAGTTCAGCAGCATCCGCGAGCGCTTCGACGCCGAGATGCGCAAGATGGAGGACGAGATGACCCGGTTCCGGTCGGAGCTGCTGCACCGCGAGGAGCCCCGCAAGCACAGTAGCATCACCTCGTCCAGGTGAGCGCCAGGAACTCGGGTCAGCCCGGGTCACCGGCTCGGCACGGACCTGACTCACGCTGCATATAGCGACCACGTGACTCGTTGACACGCTAACATTTAACCGCATATAGCGCGGGCCGCGGGTGCACCATATCGGCAGAGAAAAATGCAAAGCTGGCTGGGTGTGTGTCGTAACGGTTAAACGGTTCGCATGCCACCTCACGTCGCCGATGGCCATCACCCGTCTAGTGTGGACAGGTTTGGATTGTGGATTGCGGTAAAGTTTCCGCCTCGTGTTCATTGTTGGTCAAGCTGGGAAGATCCGGAGAGGGCGGAAAACGTGCCGAGGGCATTGTCTTTGGACCAGGGCGCTAGTGATTCACCGGCCTTGCAAGGTGCCACAGGAAGGTCCAACTGGCACAACAGTCTACTTCGCGATGCCAAAGGGAAAATTACCTTGAATCTAGAGGCGTCTAAATTGCGCACGTTCGGCCATTGTTGGTATCTGAATGTTGCTGCTTTACTAGAGATTGTTTGACGGGGAAATGGCTGTTAATAGCAGCCTAGGGATGTTGAGTAACGACTAGCACAGAATTTCAACCGACGGACTGTTTTATTTCAGTAAAAATCGCTGATTGCCTTTTTGATGAACCTTTGTGTTTCATAACTTTCCAAACATGAATTTATATTTATCATATAAGAACGCAGTCACTCAAGTCAGGGATCATTGTTCCTGACAGAAAAGGGCGATGAATTTTCCCGACATTAAATTTCATCTCCCCCAGTCATTTTGTCTCCCACACCGTTTTAGAAATTATCTGGCTGGGGCGGCGGGCAGTGCAGGAAATGGCCAGTGTCCGCCCCCGCTGCCGCCTTATGTCCGCCCACGCCGCGTCCAGCGCGGGCGGGGGCGGGGGCGGCCGGTGAAACGCAGCCCTGCGTGCCGCCCTGTTGACTTTACAATCAAAGCCATAGATTTAGTGAGACAGGTGGTGCGCCGCGGCCGGGCGCCGGGGTTTCACAGCGCCGCGCCGACTGAGGAGGCGTGAATCACCTGTTTATCACTGCTCGGGTTTCAAAACACGTGACTCACGGGTGTAAGCGCACACGGGCGGTGCATTTCACTTACCTCTGCGTACAGTCGGCGGTAAGGCACGCTACGCCCCATGCTGGCAGCTCCTCCGGCGCGGCGCGGCGCGCCGTGCTCTCTCAGCTGTCCGTGCCGGGCGCGCCGTGCTCTCTCAGCCGTCCGTGCCGGGCGCGCCGTGCTCTCCCAGCTGTCCGTGCCGGGCGCGCCGTGCTCTCCCAGCTGTCCGTGCCGGGCGCGCCGTGCTCGCTCAGTTGTCCGTGCCGGGCGCGCCGTGCTCTCCCAGCTGTCCGTGCCGGTCGCGCCGTGCTCGCTTAGCCGGCCACACCGGCGCACCGACACCTCTCGACGCAAACTGGTTCTTGCGAGCCGATGTTGCGAACGTAGCTGGGGCCGGATCGTGTTGGCCGCTCCTGCTGCTGTCTGTTCGGGTTCGTCCACCGGTCGAAGGGCACGAGTCTGTGTTACAGGGAGGCCCCGTACAAAACTCCGCGTCGCACTATATCACACCAGACGGAGGTCACTCGTCGCCGGCTGATGAACTACACTCGCGACAGATCGCGACACCTTGGCGGCGCGTCCGCGCGACGGTGGGCCGTCGCTCACACTGTCCGTTGCACACGCGAGATTCCCGGGAACGGGAACGGGTACCACGCGGCGCCGTGCCGGCCGGCCGGTCGCCACTATCCGGTAAACTTGGCCGGTGCCGCGTCACAGCACGGTACTGGCCTGCACGACAGGTCGTGGTGGCACCGGGCCGCCGCCGTGCCTCAGGACAGGCCGCTGTGCCTCCGTCCGTCCGTCCGTCCGTCGGCAGCAAGACAGATGATCTGCTTATGCTCCGCCGATCCCGCCGTCCACCGTCCGGTGGCCGGTGATCGCCAAACTCGTTCTATTGAGTTCCCGTCGCTCGCCGTTTCAGCCGTGCGTTCCTAAGTGAACTTGCCGAAGGGGTTGACCTGTGGAAAGCGGTCGGCCGGAGTGGCTGCACCAATCAGCTGCCGCTGTGCTGGCCGAACCGGCCACCGGCCACCTTTCCAGAGCGCGCAAAAACAGGCAGGTATCCCGCCGGCACCCGCGGCTGTCCCGTTGCCCAGCCGCGGTGCAGTGTTGAGAATGCACACGACGGGGAGCGGCGAGCGAGGGGCACAGTGACAGGACAGTACCTACTACATACGGTGCCACCGTTATTACAAATTCAGTGCGGACCATCAGTTGTTCAAATGGCGTGTCTTTCTTATACTTGCTTCAGCTAATTGCTCGTTTGTTAGTCTTTGAAATTGTTGCGCTTCATGTGGTTTTCAATTTCAACAGTTTGACACATACCTGCGACAGAGAAAACGAGTCGTTTTGAGGTGGTGTCTTGTCGTGCTCCAGCTGGAAACAATACATTGCTGTGCAATGGGCATTTTTGCCGATTCAGGCATTCAGGCTATTTCCAATTTTCGGAAACTCGTTCGAATTCGAAACAAGGGCGCTGCTGCAGGTGGCCGCGACATTGCAATGTCGCCTCAATTGTTGATCCCGGTTCTTCCCAAAACTGGGGACAATAGCCGAGGTATCGTGTCAAGTCCAGCTGCAAAGCATCGAATATCACTCATGCATTAATCATCAGCCGCTCCACATAAAGACCGTCGAACAGAGGTGGCATGTCGGACCGTCTATATCATGGGTCGGTCTATATCATGGGGCCGAGGCGTTTGTCGGACGGTCCGTCCACTGGCTGTAACTCCGTACCGTCTGTTTGGCCGACTCTCTGTCACCGGCATGGCGTCCCGCTGTCCCGGCCGAGAGACGGAGGAATGTTTGTCCAACTTCAGGTGGCTTCGAGTTATTGTCGATCGTGTCCTGGCCCGTAGCCAGGCACAGCCCCCCAATGCCGTCGGGGCGTCGGCACAGCTTTGAAAACTGGGATACATTCAGCGTTGCTATTTCAAACGATGGCGTTGGTCTTGCAATTGCATGCAGGACCAACCAAGGTGGTATAAATATAAGTTTTTTCTTATCAGGATCATTATGCACGTGCGACGGTCGTCAGCACATTTTTGTCGGCCTTGGGTAACTGACTTGACACAGTCACTGCTTCGTCCAAAAAATATTGCTGTGCCCTGGAAAACATATCACGACACCATTGAATTTCATGACAGACATGAAAACAGCCCGCTTCGTTTTCACCATTATCCTTGAAGGTTTCGTTACTTCTTGGTGAGCTCGGGAGCAGCTTCAACCATTTACCCGAACAGAACTACATGATAGCTGGATATCTTTTGTATATTGCTCACCGTTAACTTGTCCATTGGGCACGGGCCCTCAGGATCGTTTGGGAAGAATGTCGGGGAAGGGTATGTGACATTTGTGCTTAATGACGAGGCGGACTATTCACCAGTTACGACTAACATGCGGTGCTGCCTTCACTGGGTTAGTCACCGTCGTAATTCCTAATTCGGAGCAGATTTTTGTACCATTGTAGTTTTACTACAGCTTTTACTGAGGCCTAACACTGGACAGCTCAATTTGAGCGGACCGATTAATGCTGTACAAAGGCAGATGCAGTGTCGATGCTGGGTGGAACCACCGGTACATGCTAAAGAACTAACGCTTGGCTCTCTTTGTATTCTGATTGCAGTTTTCCATCGTCAATGATCACTCAGCAGAACTCGTCGTACAGGTGAGTGAACCTGCGGCGCGGACGTGCGCTTTGTGTATAGCGAGTCGCTTCTTTGATGATAACACAGCGTATCGGTAGTACGTATATTGCAAGTAGTTAGTCGTTTTCGTCATTGGATTCCTGGTCCCTCGTCGGTGAATCCCTGTTCGTCCCTCCTCGTCTGTTTTATATGCCTTGACATCATGTCGTGTCGCCGTGTGTTTGGCGCCGCTGCCAGTCCATTAGCACTGGGACGTGAGTCGTGATCAGCTGCCACTCCCGCTCTCTCACTGTGCAAACAACAGTCCAGTTGCAAAAATCGTCCTGCGTCCACGGGCTGCATGATGGTACGAGACTGGCCTCGGCTATAAAATGTTCGTCATTTGTCACTGCTTGCTTTTAGATACAGCGAAAACAATACCTAGAGTAGACGTAAGACTTTTAATATGTGGATTAACTATAAAAAACGATTCAATGATTCGATTAAATTACTGCAAAAATTACAATTTAACTCTTTCATTGAATGAAATATTTTGTGTTAAATCTTAACTTTCCTCGAAGGAGGTCAGCTTTTTTCATAAATACCAATTTCTTTTTCAATGTCATCCGTTTGTGCAGTTTGTCCGTTTTGTAGAAGCTCGCCTCTCAGGCACGTTTGCACGGGCTCACCGCCTCACCATCCAATACCGGCACGTCATTGTGGCGGCCAATATTGACGGAGCCACCGGAGCCCGAGACGGACACTGTCCACTCTGAGGGAGCGGGAGCAAACACGGCGTGTGTCTGTCCACATCACCGGCTGCACCCGTCCGCCTCGTCTGCAGTGTGATCCGCCACCTATCGTCTGCAGTCCGACCCGCCACCCTTGTCGGCTCTCCCGTCCGACCCGTCACCCGCCGCACCCACCAGTAAGCCTGCAGTCCCACTCGCCACCCATCACCTCCCCTAGCTGCCAGCTCTACCGTCCGATCCGCCGCCAGCAGGGTGCCTGCAGTCCGCAGCTGCCACTCCCCCAATCTCCCCATGTTGTCCGTCCTGCCACCCTAGACCGCCATCTCGTTCCCGTCCGGCTGTCAGCCCCGGCCCTCCTTGTGCGGCGCTGCGGCCGGTCAGCCGACGCCGCTGTCCGTGCCGTCCGTCCACCCGAGCAGCCAGTCACACCTTTTATGGCGCGTGCCTTCTGCACCGACACCCCGTGACGTCAGGAGCGTCACCGGACGGTGGCTCGTCAGTGAGCCGCTGACCCACTGACGTGCAGTTTGGGTGGGCGGTCACGACATGATGTAGCGTCAAACGCTGATGTGGTAATTAAGCTCGTTCTGCGGACTGACAGGCCGTTAAAACTCAAAAGACCAGCAATGTTCTGTGCCACGGCGTTGTCTCAGTCTCAGTGCGTGTATTGACGGTGTGTTTGTCCGGCAGCACCACGACGACCTCGTCTCACCAGACGTCGGGCACCAACACCAACTCCAACACCAATATGGACCTGGCGCGGTGCGCGCCGCCTCACAACTGGATCGAGAGTCTCAACTCGCCGCTCGTCCAGGAGGTGGGTCCGCGAGCTCGAATTCCCCTTCCTCTCTCCTTGAGACCTCGCTGGGGGCAGGACGTTTTAGTGAGATTCCCATTTGTGAGCGGAGTTCAGGAGCTCTTCATACAGCATGGTTCTGGGTGGTGCCAAAGCAGCAGTGACTTTCAGCGACTTGGCTAGAGGTTTTCATGATGGATAACGGTATCGTTCGTGAATAGCTTTGGTTGTACTTGTAAGCGTTCAGTAAGGGCTAAACTAAGTAAACGTTACATATAATTGATATGTTTTGCATTTGCAGGATGGAGACAAGAAGCACCTGAAGCTGCGTTTCGACGTCAGCCAGTACAAACCTGAGGAGATCGTCGTAAAAACCGTTGACAACAAACTCCTGGTGAGTAACTCAAGGGAATGAGCCTCGGGCTGTTTTCTTCCTTTTGAATGTTATCATTGTGTTAGAACTCAGCATAACGGCCAGGTTGACATTTTTTCGGTCAATTATTTTCCAACATTGGATAAAGTAAAACAAAACGTTTTGAGAACTTATCGCTAGTTATCTCCCTGGTGGTAGGATAATGAAACGTTTCTGGGTTCTGGGGAACTGTGAACAGCGGCATTTTGGTGACGCTTCGAGCGACCTCAAATATCCCGCAAAAGCTGTTAGCGGACCGGCATTTGACTACTGCGAGCATTTCTTTCACCGAAGCCGCTCATAGCGGACCGGTGCGGCGGACGGCGTTCCAAACATGTTCAATTGGCGTCACTAACCTCTCAACACAGAGTTCAGTGGGGCCGGCGCTACTGGCTGCAGCCGCAGTGACGAGGGAGCGACCGGGCCAGCTGTTTTATCAAAGCGATCACATTACCGTGTCAATACAGCACACATCGAGCGAATTTAATCGCTCCTAATTCAGGGCAGGGCTCGATCGGATCCAGTAGCCCGGCGGCCGGCGGCGTCAACGGGGCCGATTTTAGCGTGAATTCGAAATGGGGGCATCCAATGCGGCCGTCTGGACTAGTGCCTTTACGGCCGAGCGTGATGTGTCTGTCGGCATGGTTACCGACCAAACGAGGCCAACATTTTCGGCGAATTTCATAGGGAGGCTCCGAAACCTGTCAGACTTCCGGCTCGTAAAGTTTGCAGCGGTATCCGGGGCCCGCCCATATAGAACAGAAGGCTTCCTACTATGCCGCAATCGTTGCAAACAACTTCCTTCGCCGAGCATCTTGGAACGGCAAATCGATTCGAGCCACAGTGGACGCTGTTGATATTGCCGCTGGGTGAAATAGCCGCAATCATAGCTCGTTAGGCCCTGAGCCGTCTCGTGGCGGAGTTGGAATAACAGTCGTAATGAACTGCCGTCTGATCCACTGACGGCCGGGCAAATTAGCTCGGTCTTGCTAGAAGCTGTTTATTTCCTGGCGGCACTGCGGTGAGATGCTCAACAGTCCACACCGCGGCTGGGGATCGGTCACTGCCGGCACCTGGGGCGGCCGGCGGGCAGCCGCCCTAACCGCCGCCGCCGCCGCCGCCCGGTGACGTCAGAGGTCGCCCGAGGGCGGCGGGGGCGGCGGCGGGGGCGGCCGTCACAGCTGCGCTCGGGGCAGGCCGCCGGCAGCGGCGGCGGCGGCGCAGACCGGAGCCGGGCCGGCAGAGAGCTGCGACAGCTTCCATCGAGTCGGGGTCTGCTCGCCGGCTCGGCAGCGCGGAAGGATGGCTGAGGATGGCCTCTGGGCCGGCCACATGTGCGGTCCGGCCGGGCGGCGGCCGTTTGTGCGTGGGCCGCGCGGCCGGCGGCTTGCCTGACCGGCCGGCTATTAGGGCCTCAGCCCGGCGCCGGCGCGGCACTGAGCTCCGCGCGTGGGCCGGCACTGACCGCGCCCACCGCCCATACATGGACCGGCCGGCAGTTAGCAGCGCCCGGTGAGATCCTCACGCCGCGTGCCGCCCGATCGTTGTCCTTATCTACTAAACACGGGTTCTGGGAATATTTGACCGAGCGCGGATCTCTAGCTGCTGGGTTTATGAGATTTGTAGTTGCCAGCTGCCGGCTGCTGACAGGTCATGGTGAGAGCAGCTGCCGCCTGTTGCTGAGACCAGCTGCTCTCTGTTATCATGGAGTAGTTATCATCGTTTATTTGTCTGCCAGAATAGACCTGTTGCTAAGAGTGGTGTGATCACCGCCCCTTTTGTCTTCAGCAGCCCTCGTAACCTGAGACGTCGGTCTTTTGGCATGCAGTGAAACAGCGGACAGCTTAGGTCGATTTATCTAAGGTTTCCGCGGAATTGTGAGTTTCATTAAAGCAAACAAACAAACAAACACGCTTTGGAAGTTCCCGCTGAACAATTAATATATCATGATGTTGCAATTAATTTTACATTGATTTACAGGCCTCAGTATTGCAACACAAGGGCAGTAGCTGGGCATACATCCAACCGTTAGCGTAAGACCGTGACGCGGAAGGGTTAAATTTCCCTTTGCGACCTCTGCGATGGTGGGCGCTGCTGAAAGCCTCCCTCCAGTCGCTCCAGAGTCCAGAAAGCCACGTCAGCCGCGGCGGGTCATTTTTAGCCGCGCTGGTTCGCTCCGCCCTGCACCGGCGGGCTGCGCCGCTATATTTGTGGGAGCGGGCGCGGCTGGCGGGGGTGTCGGTCCGCCCCCGCCCCCGCCCCCGCCCCGGCACCGATCATCGTCCAGAAATGCGGTCCGCGCGGTGCCAATGGCGGCAGCCCGGCCGGCGTGAGATCAGCTCCGAAAGGGGCTGACGTCTCCAGAGGCGCCGGTCGAGTCGGTAAATAGTGAAAACTCCTCGTGACGGGGTGAATTTGTCACGGAAAATCCGGCCGTAAATCACGACAGAGATAAATGTTTTGCTTCTCCGCGGAATTTTTAGGCAAAGCTTTTGATCCACCACCTCCCACACTTCAGGCAGCTCAAGGCCTTCTATGTCTCTCTCAGCTTTCAGTGCCGTTAAAAGCAAACGTCAACGAGTAAAGGAAGCCCCGCGACTGACCTCCCTCCCCTCATGTGTCTGTTCGCAGGTGCACGCCAAGCACGAGGAGAAGTCGGACAGCCGCAGCGTCTACCGCGAGTACAACCGCGAGTTCCTGCTGCCGCAGGGCTCCAACCCGGAGATGATCAAGTCGTCGCTCTCCAAGGACGGCGTGCTGACAGTGGAGGCGCCGCTGCCGCCGGCGCTCGGCGGCACCAACCACATCCCTATCACCAACAAGTAGACGCCCGCCTCCACTCTGCCGGACGCCGCCGGGCGCTGACGTCGCGACCGGCAGCGCGGCCTTTTGTTCAGACTTGTGATTCTCGCGCAGTTCGCATGGCTTCGAGTCCCGAAGCATCGTCTCGAGAAGGGCCAGGGAGGGCTCTCCAGGTTCCCTGGCGGCCTTTAGAGCCGTGGATGGGTCCTTCAAGGGACTCCCTTAGCCGCCGGGGAGCCCACTGGGCGCCTAGTCAGTCGGCGCCTTACGATAACTGAGCTAACTCGGATTCCCACTTTGGTAGCGGAGGGTCGATTCCGCACCACGCATAGAAGAGTAGGGGGACGGGCACTGACGGATTCAGAGCAGACATCTCTGTCCAGAGTCGTCGAGAGACGTCCTCGAATTTTGACAAAATCGGTTGTTGCATTGAGAGGCAGTTATGGATCAGATATTAACATTTCATCCGTAATGTACAATAAAACATACATTTTGATGTTTACATAACTATTACTCTGCGCTGACCACTCCGAATCCGTTGGTGTTGTTGCACATTTGCGTTTCTGAGTTGTCAAATTTTGTTTCCCGCACTGAAAACTTTTTTACCATTTCCTGAAGGGTAAACCCGCCATAGCATGGTAGCTTGACACACAGACGTTTTTTACCACCTTCCAGATGGTAAATTTTACTCTTTCATGAAGAGTAAACTCGCCAGGGAGGGGTAACATGACACACAGACGTTTTTTACCATCTTCTGAATGGTAAACTCTTTTGATTTACTCTTGTCTAGAGTGTAACATTTTTTGGGTTACACTCTTTGAAAGGGTAAATCTTTAACGGAACCCTTTTCTAGGGAGTAACGCATCATCTAGTCTGTGCTTTACCCTCCTACAGAGAGCATATTCTTCTGGCCTACCCTTTGTCACATGGTAATGTTTACTCTTTCCTATAGTGTAAACCCCCCAGAGGATGGTAACAGACTCACAGACGCTTGCTTCAGAAGCTTCACGAAGCTTCTGTTAACCGGAGCTCACCAACTAAAAAAAAAAATGCTTCAAGAGCAACAATGTATATTTGGCTTCCGTACAAACAATACGAGGGGCACACCAGCCATGAACATTGTGAGACTCTTCACTTATTCATACGAATTTAACAAAGCGTTCATCAATGCACAAGCGATAAATAAACACCACGATACAACTTGAATGCAATTTGAATATGAATACCTACAAGACATTCAGCGCCCTCATATTGGATAAGGCACAGCGCACAATATTTGAAGTGAGCGACGGCGTTCCTGGGTGGTCGCCCGTCTGCGTGAGATAATGAGACTGGATCACTACAGTACAAGTCTTTTTTTCAAAGTCACCAACAATATGCATAAACTTGTAGCATCACAACAAAATTAATGTACGTACTCACAACACTAGGCCACGTGGCCGTGCACGGGGTCCTGTTAACCAGGTCAAATTAGCACCACTCAACGGCACGCAATGCTCTAGCACATCGGTACTTACAATAAAATGTCCATAGAGGCTCTATAGGCGATGAACAGCACACAAGCACAATCACCAACGGCCACGCCGCGCGGCACCGACACTGCTCACATCCGCTCTCGGAGACCAACGGCCGAAAACTGACAGATGCGCGCGGCCTTCAAACCGCAAACGGCCGATCTCGTTTCTGATTGGCTGATTGGTTCCATTTCAAATATCATCTTCACGAGGGTAAACAAGATCCACGCATGAAACGACTATCTGTACACGAGTCACGATACCCAGAAGGAAAGAGTTTTCATGATGTTCTGGATCGCGAGAGTAATATTGATATTTACATGGTAATTATACTTTTCGCTGGCGAATAAGTTCATATTAACCACGTACCGTTACTATGCACATAATGGTAGCAGCGAGTTACCCTTTCAATATACTCTTATCTTGGGGGTTTGATGAAAATGAACCCTCCAGGAGGTCGTAAAAAAGTTTTGAGTGACGTGCGACGATGGTCATGACATGCGACTGTTGAATATATTTACCGAACTGCCTGCTGTTTTCTTTTGAAGTAATGACGACATGCCGGATTGACTGATCGTCTTCGACGGGTAAATCGGAAACCTTCCACGCTGGAGTCGGGCCAACGGGGTATTTGTCCTGGCTCGGGGTCCATGTGGGAGCGTCATTAACTCCTGAAGCCGGAGGTCCTTCCGTGTCCAACACCTCGGACGCGGATGGATGATGTGACCGTTTTAGACAGCTCCTGACCAGCCGGCCGTCCTAAAGCTCTCCGTTCACGGCGTCGGAGTTTTACACGGCGTCCTTGACCAGTCACGGAATATGCATCGGAATACGAGACAGCACGCTACACTGTTTGTCGCAGGCAGGTCCGGCAGCATCTGCAGACGTTCATGTTATGCAGCACATACATATCTCATGCATAGCTCAGTAGCCATGCACTGCAGCAATCTCCCAAAAAGGCGATACTAACGAGGGTGAATCACAGTTCGGGGAGGATCTGTGACGACAGGAGTGCCGGTGGTCGGGTCACTTGACCGGATCTACGAGCTGTATTTCCACATACGAGTTGCATTACGACCCACGAGTTGCAGGCATTCACTGTGGATGCTCACATACGAGGACAGAAACAGACATCGAGTGCTGTCAACAATGACAGAGCTGATAAATAGCGATTATTTAGGTTTAAAGGTGCGCAAACTGGGGATGTCATTGGCACCCATCAACGTGAGTATTCCAGAATGAAGAGTCCTTGTGACACCCATTCCTCGTTTGTTTCATCATTCATACACGATCTCTGAATACACGCTGGCCCGCATGTCACGCGGATGGGCGGCACTCCGATGATTTCCGCTTCTACGCTGGCGTGTCATGATGCAGGATGCTCCAATACGATCGGAAACAATAGAAAAATCCGGGAACAGCGCTAAATAGAACATAAAACACTGTCAACAAGAGATTAATGGTGGCGATTGTCCGTCGGACAATAAACGTACCAGGCGAGAGCGACAAGCTATTCAGGAACGCGCTATTTTCGTTTCATTATTTTTACCGTCAGCGTACACACAGAAAAATATTGACACCGTTAGCGGTGTAATTGCACAGTACATATCTGAGCACTTGAGGAAAGTTAATTTAGTCCCTTCCCCGCTTAAATTACTCGCGCTTCTAAATGAACACCAGGAAGAAGGTAATAGAACACTGATAGGAGGGTTGGGTGTTTTACTACATGTAGCAAAACACCCAACCCTCCTAACAGTGTTCTATTACCTTCTTCCTGGTGTTCATTTAGAAGCGCGAGTAATTTAAGCGGGGAAGGGACTAAATTAACTTTCCTCAAGTGCTCAGATATGTACTGTGCAATTACACCGCTAACGGTGTTAATATTTTTCTGTGTGTAGTGATGCTAAACACCAGGTCTGCAGTAGCTTCCTTATTTGGAAGTGTGCCTCGCATTATACCATTACGAGTATTGGCATTTGGCGGTTACACAAACAAAATAAAAAATCGTTGGCAAGCCGTGAATGATGCAGAATAGTCCCTAATAAGAAAACCGCTATGTTTATATTTGCAAGGTTGGACATTTTTAGAGATAACAATGCCCTCATTAAGCATTGCATCGGTCATAAGCGAAGGACGGAACGTACTTAAGCAATTCATTTAGAAGATTCCTGGCCACCTGAGCAGCGCCCGGCAACTGCCGAGTGGTAAATAATATGTAGTCAGTACGTCATTGGAGCAGTCAGAGCCAGGTGCATTGCCACCTGTGAATTCGCTGAGCGTGGCTGGACCTCGAAAGCCTGGCTTTGTTCTTGTAATGGTAAGTACGGTCAAATCGATGGTCGAACAATTATAATGGCTCGGCGTTTAGGTATTTGAAACCGCCTATTAACAAACTTATATCTAAGTGGTACTTTATGTGAAGATGAAAGCCCTGAAACTCAATTATCACAAGATGAAGCGTCAGTATGGCATATGACAATCAGAATGGCGAGGTCAGCCATGCGATTCAATTTGCGTGCTTTTTGCTTAGCCTGCGGCCCTGCGCTGTCATTCGTCCTGTCCGCTGCCGTCCGCCGGATATTGAGCTGACCTCCGTTCTGCAGTGCTAATAAGTATCGGTGCAGGACCTCCTGACCTAGTCCTACACTTACAGCCACAGGCTCGGTCCACAGTCATTCATCCGTTCGCCTGACGTCCCCTCCTCTCCTCCTGCCGCCGCTGCCAGTACCGCCCGACCACACGGCACACAGCTGGGCGGCGGGGGGCGCAGGGCGTGCAGGGCGTGGCGGGGCGCCGGGCGCCCGGCCGTGACGGTGGAACGCCGTGACGCCGCCCGTCACACAGGCACGCTGTGACGCCGCCCCGTCACATAGACTCGCCGTGCTCCCCGCGGTGGCGGTGCTGTGACCGGTCCGGGAGCTGTTGTAGTGTGGGTGTAAGTATGATTACAGGGGTGTTGACTTCAGTGCTGATTCGGAGAGGAGAGAAACTATAGGATTGGACCGGTGAATGGTAACCGTCGCCGTCTGGTGACAGCAGGTCAGTAGGTACTCGGAGAGCTGCAGGACACGGTATGGCAGCGATGGCCGCAGGTCAGACGACAGTCGTAGGTTACAAAGCAGTAGCTCAGCTCTGACCGTTGCAGGATCCCGCAGGTATGCAGTGTGCTGTGACCTTTGACCTTACCAGCTCGTATATACGTCTGTCGTAAAAATGAAAATCCTAACCGTAGCACATATGGAGTTCGAAAAATTGCAGGCAATTTTGATTTAGCTGTTACATCTATATAACTTATTTGATTCATCGCCGTATAAATCAACCATACAACCGTGGTGAGCAGCGAGATCGTTTACTAAGTTACATCGCTGACAGAGAGCCCGGATAAAAATGTTGTTTGTTTGAAACCTATCCCGGTGAAATATGGCCTCCATTGGCTGGTGCGAGGTACAGACGTCTCTAATGTTGCTACCGTCTGTAGTCTCCGGAGGCCGATATACAACCGAAATTCCGCGGGGAACTCCGGGGAGAGGCCTGGTGGAGCCATCAGCAGGACACAGTGATGGACAGTACGGGCTACCGAGTCCCGACAGACGAACGAGCGCCGTGTGAACTGAAATGGTGGCGTGAAATAATTAGTTATGCGGCCTGCGAGAAACGGCAAGGCGAGCCAATGACATATTGGCGCAGAGCCGTATATGATTTTATCGGGAAATAACTTTTTTCAAACTTGTTTTGCTGTAGATAGGATCTCTTATTGATCGAGGATATGGCGTAACCAACGAATGCATTGTGTAATGATAATTATGATGCTCCGAGTGACGTCCCGAGTGGCGCCGTAGCCGGCGCCTCGCGAGGTGTGTGCCCACTGTAGGTGCCCCGTGCCGATTGGAACTCGGATCTTCGGATTGTGATTTCGTTCAACGTCCAATTTGATATTCGGATGGAAAAAGCCAGTTGTCTGTGAACAAGACTGGAAAATCATTTATCACACTAAAGCATTTTGTTTGCGTATTCTTGTTCGTCATAAACTTGTTGGTAGACAACTCAGCTACGGT